AAGTTTTATGTCAGTATTGGAAGAGTAACTTGATAGTTTTCTGTTCATATCTGTGTTCTTGACATTATCATGTGGAATGTGGTACAAGGTGAAGATTTTATTGCTATTAGCAAAGAGGATTTGAGGCATTAAGTTCTTTATAAATACATCTGAAAAACAAATAGTTTTCTGTTGTGCTTTCTTTTGTAAGCAGAGATACATGAACAACAAACAATTTCCTCTGCATGGGTTTAGATGTTGCTCTTAAGGAGTCATAGCCTGTAAAATAACTTGAGCAGGTGGAGCTGATTGTTTTGCTTGGGGCCTCCGGCAGAACATAGTGTTTCTGCAGCTGTGATGAACTTGAACCTTTGTATTTATTGGACTGTCTAGCAGTCTGTATAGCAGAAGTGATGCTACTGACATTAATGTTAAAGGATGTTGTGTTATAGGAAGCCTGTGCTAGATCCTTCATAAATGGATATTTCCTTCGTCCCTGGAAGTTGTGAGCGCTCAGCGTCTCCCAGGCTGTTAACTTCTCAACATTTTGGACAGCTTTATAGCTTCTGGGTTGAGCTGTGGTCTTGTGAGGTTTTATGTTTGAACTGGACTGAAGTATACACAGTCTGACAGCAAAGTACATGGAGAAATCTCCACCAGCAGTTTACTGCTCTGCCACTATCCCTCCTGCAGTGTTGGCTCATAGTTTTTTAAATCAATTTTTTTATTTTCTATTCTGTCACTGCCATTTATCGGATTTTAGTTTGAATATTTTATTCAATATATATATATATATATATATATAACAATATTCAATATATTATAACAATAGATGCTTATTTCTTGGGCTCCTGCCATATTGAAAGCTTTAACGAGTGAGGGGTTTTTTGTAGATTAAAAGTGGTTTTCTTTGAGCTGATGGGATATGTATCTTAAAGGACTAGACATTTTTAAAAGGTTTCCTGACAGTCAAAGTGAGGATGTTGTTGTAATATACCCAGATGCAGTGATGTGACTCATGAGGTGTCAGTGGAGAGAATGTATGTCTCTGCAAACTGTCCCTGTTATGATAAGATGTTCGAGTCTCTAGGCAAGGGCAGTCCTGAAAACATGACATGCTTGTCCCTAAGAGTAATGTTCTGAGACTAATGTAGACCACATGTGTGTGGCTTTTTCACACACATAACATTTCCAAACTTGGAGCACATATTTAAACGACAAATTCTCCCAGAAAAAATTTGTCACTCTCCACCTGTCCATCTAGGGCACTGACACGTATTCCAACATAATCCATCATGATAGCAAAGCCATTTTCTTTTTTTACGCCTCAAATAAATCATTACGTGTGCGTCTACTGGGTTTTTCCTTTGGTTGTTCACTAAACACAAAGTGGAACTCCACAGATTATTCTGATAGCCCCAACTAGGGTTGCCATATGGCCTTTGAAAAAAGGAACAGTCCAAAAGCGAAAGTATTTGTCAAACACATCCTGTTTCCTGTCAAATGTGTACAAAATCATTTAACACTCAAAAGTATTACAAAAAGAGATAATTTTGGTAGGGTTTAAGACATTGCCTGGTTCCTTATTTAAATTTCAAGGAATTCGCAACGATACCCCAACTTAGAACACAACCATAGCAACCATTTTAAATTTGCATTCAAATACTTTCATCAGTAAGCAAATTGTTAGCAGTAATGCTGTGTTTACACATGTTCTATCATCCATATGTTTTGCTCTCTGTGACAAATAGAAGGATTCTGTTCAGTACAGTCATTCACACTGGATCCATGGCTAAGTAGCACGACAGAGAGCACTCCTTCAGGATTGACTGTTATCGACAGAGTAATAAACTTACATTTCCCTAAAGAAGAGATAAACTAAAAAGAAAATCAGACAAAAGCTGATCAGTTACATGTGAAGACTTAAAAATAATGCTTGGACTTAGACAACTTTTATTGTCATTTTGTATACACACAGTATTTTGTATACACATAGCGTATAAAAAACGAAATTTTGTTTAGTAAAGCTTTTCAGATAGTACATAAACATTTCCACTCCAAAAAGTGCAGCAGTGATCAAATGTAAACAGCATGGGAGAAAAAAAAATGGTGCAAAAAATGCATTGATATGGAGGTTTTGATATATATGGTGCAAATATGCAGTAATTTTGGTTTGGTGTTATCAGTGTGATCCAGAGTTTGTGACATTATTTAGAGTTTTTTCAACATTCAGCTATCTGATGGTGATGGGGAAGAAGCTGTTTTGGAATCTGCTGGACCTTCATCAAATGCTGCAAAGCCTCTTCCCAGAGGGCAGCAGGGAGAACAGTCCATGGTGGGGGTGTGAGGGGTCATCGTTAGAGGCTCGAGACACGCAGCACTGAGATTAAATGTCTTTAATGAAGGGAAGAGGAGCCCCAATGATCCTCTCTGCTGTTCTCACCACTCTTCTCACCTTCTTCCAGTCTGAGGCGCTGCAGCCTTCACACCACTCAATGGGACAGCTGGTCAGAACGCTTTCTATGGTGCTTCTGTAGAAGGTTGTGAGCATGGGTGGGGGCAGGTGGGCTCTTCTCATCCTCCGCAGGGAGTACAATCGCTTTTGTGCAATGTGTGTTTGCTGACAAAGCCCAAGTATTAGAAACTACAGATGTTCCAGTTACAGAATTGTCTCCAGCTATTATTCTCTGACTTCTGAAAGCTCTAACCGTGTTATTCTAATTTCTCTGTAAGAATTATGAATAGAATAAAACCCAAAAATACTTTGCCTATTTTCTAAAACTAGACTATCTAAAATAAACAACAAAAGGCTCTTTGTTACTGTATGTTAAATCTTTACTTATTTAAAAGCATCACATGAATCAATTTACTGGTTTAGTAAACATCATGATGCTCCGGTGTTTTGGCCTGAGTGTTTCTCTAGAAGAACAAGTGAAAACAAATGAATCACTAACCATCTTCTTTATACATCTGAGAAGATTCTCAGTCATCCAGGTCATAATTAAGCTTGAAAAAGTTCAGTTTAGGCAACTGGACGTAAAGTTTTCTGGACCGTGCGGTTCACCTCATAAAAGACAGACAACTCAACATAGAAGTCTACAGAAAATCCACACACATTGACCAGTACCTGTTTTCACTCACACCACCCACCAGAACACCAACTAGACGTAATTAGAACTCTCCAGACACGAGCAGAAACTAACCATCTATAGAGGGAAGAGGAGAGAATTCCTTTTTTAAACCTGCAGCAAATTAATTCCAGTGCTCCCCAACACTAGTTTGAGTCGAGGAAGTCTCTTGGATGAGAGGAGAAACATCTTCTAGAAAAATTAATGTCCAGTTGCCTAAACTGAACTTTTTCAAGCTCTATCTTCTTTACTTTTCTGCATTTTATTAAATATCTTCTTTCTTTTAGAACACTTCAAATGCCCTTTTTCATGTTTGTTTAAGCTGTCCAAAGTAATTCATAGGTATATAGTATATGATGAATTATGACTTTTAGCACAACAGAATATAAATGTTTGGCCTACATGCCTCATGACAGGGTGCAACACTTAACTATATTTCATCTCTTCTCTAAGTCAGCTTCTTTTCAATAACTAGCTGGTGTTATTTATTTATTTTTTTCTTTTCCAATGGATTTCTTTAAAATTTAATGTTATTTATGGGATGAAGTTTTAATTATTTTCACTTCATTTGCTGATTTTTATAAATGGAACTGTTGTTAGCTTGACTTGGATGATCTTTATTCAACATTTCAGACTGCAGAGTTTCTATTATAAACCCAGGGAACATGAAAAGTAAAGGTTATATTGCCCTGGAAAGCAAGCAGTTATTTTGTGTTCACATATTTCAGTGTTTGTTTGCCAAATACACTTTCTTTTAAGAGCAGAGGAATAGCGTGCCTGTTTCTAGCAATAAAAACTTGCCCCTGGAGGAGTTTATATGTTGCTCCTGGGGACTCAGAGCTTGTAAAAGTGCCGGAGCAGTTGGATTTGTTTTGCTCAGGGCATCTGGCAGGATATATAGTGTTTTCTGCTGTTGAAATAGTCTGTGCATTTATTGCCACTTCTTGCTACAGTGGAGGTAAACATAGCTGATAGAAGATGTTTCTTGATGCTTTAGATCTTGTGATTGTGGTTGTTTTAATGATGACTTCCTTAGCCCTTAGGGTCATTTGTTTCATATGTCTCTGGGGACATACGCCCCCCTGTGGCTTAATGCAAGGTAAAATGAATAAAGAAAATAGGTGGAATTAAGTTAGATAGGTAGGTAGTTATTTCAGACACGACTCAGCATTATCTGTATGATTTGAAAATCAGGGCATAAGTCTTCCATTTGCAAAGCTAGAATTATTGAATTTTTATTTTTGACAAAATTTGAATATTTGTCTTAATAGCTACAATCGTCAACAAATGCATAGTGTAACAATGCTTACTTTAAAATCAATTGGATGTTAGTGCTTGTTAAAATCTATGTATCTAATGACATTATATTTTTCCATAAGCTCAGATTTTGTTACATGGCCTCCAACAGCCATGGCATAGATCAGAATTGCTCCTTGCCTGGGGCAGGCTACCCTAGAGTACCAACATTACTGGGTTAGCAAACATGATTCAGCAAAATACCAACACATCAAAGATTAGTCAAAAATCTTTAAGTTTGCATAATTAGGTTTAAGGTTAGATGAGAAGGCAGTTTGGGTTGTTCTTAAACCAAGGTTTATAATTTTGGGTAAACACTCTGCTACTCTTACTGTGTTCAAATTAGCTTGTTGGTTCTGTTGGTCTTTAGGACAATGTAAACTCATCACATTTACCTTTGAACAGAAATAGTTCAATTAAATTATGGCATACTATTAAAAAACAACAGATGCTACGTATGTGTTACGTCCTTGCTAATAAAGAGCCAATTTTGCTTCTTAGGCTGTTTAATACAATAACTGAAAGGGTAGCATTAACAACAGTATATGAGTTTGCACTGCATTAACAACACATCATCTGTGTTTCCTACTCTCTTAGTACAAACAAGTGGAGCAGTATATGTCCTTCCACAAGCTGCCTGCTGACTTCCGACAGAAAATCCATGACTATTATGAGCACAGATACCAGGGCAAGATGTTTGATGAGGAAAGCATCCTGGAAGAGCTCAGCGAACCACTCAGAGAGGTAATATAAACACTATCAGCTCTACCTATTTAGCATTGTCTTCCTTTGACTAATATTTGTTTATTTTTGTAACCTACAAGATGTGCTATCCAGCAGATTAAAAGACACATTATGTCTGCATATATGTACTTGAAAAAAAAACAAAGATCTGATTTTCTTTTTAGGAAATTGTTAACTTCAACTGCCGTAAGCTAGTGGCGTCTATGCCGCTGTTTGCCAACGCTGAGCCAAACTTTGTCACAGCAATGCTGACTAAGCTACGTTTTGAGGTATTCCAGCCTCATGACTACATCATAAGAGAGGGTACCATTGGCAAAAAAATGTATTTCATCCAGCACGGCGTATGCAGTGTCATCACCAAAGGCACACTTGCTATGAAGCTGTCAGATGGCTCGTATTTTGGAGGTGGGGTGTTTTTTTATCTACTTGTTTGCCCTGGGTGTTACTGTTTCTCACTTAACCTTTAACCTTTGCTTTACTGTTTCAGAGATCTGCTTATTGACAAGGGGTCGACGGACAGCCAGCGTGAGAGCAGAGACATACTGTCGCCTCTATTCTTTATCTGTTGACAACTTCAACGAGGTGTTAGAAGAGTATCCCATGATGAGAAGAGCCTTTGAAACTGTTGCCATTGATCGTCTAGACCGTATAGGTAAAATAATTGAGAAAACATTGAAAATATCCAAGGCATCCATCTATTGATGAGTAAATTCACTGGGTTTGGCATACAGAATTTTAAAAAGCGTAAACTAGTGCATGTGCTTCAGGGGAGCTTAACTGAGTGTACAATCAAGACATAACATATTACACTAACTGTCATACCGTAACCCTAATACCATTAATCAATCTCATATATGAAATTGAGATAAGAACAACCCTCATATATGAACTTGATGCTTAGAAATATAATAATTTCAGGTTGTCATCTGAGGGCAGAAGCTTATTTCCTCATTGCAGAATCTCGTTAGATAGAACAGTAAAATTATTGGCATTGTTCTCTTAAAAAGACATAGGACACTGTAATAGTATACGATGGTGCAGAGTGACACAGATACTTTTCCCAGGACCTGTTCCTACAGAGGATATGCCTGGTGTGAAGGGCATCACACCCTCTATAAAACTTCTGATGTATTTTCTTTGAAATATTTGATATGCTTGTTTTTATGTTTTGTTCATCTTTTTTATTCCTTCTGTGTGGTTCTTTGCATTCTCTAACACTGCCATTTTTTTCTTGCTGTAGGTAAAAAGAACTCAATCCTGATGCACAAAGTTCAGCATGATCTCAATTCTGGCGTATTTAACAACAGAGAAAACGAGATGATCCAGGAAATAGTCAAGTATGACCGGGAGATGGTGAAACTGGTGGATCTGCAGCGGCCAAGGGCCATGTCTATGACCCCAACTATAGGTGGGATCTTTGCTCCTCCAGGACAGCCTCAGACGGGCTCCGCAATTGCCACCCTCCAGCAAGCTGTGGCAATGAGTTTCTGCCCTCAGATGGCAAGTCCTTTGGTGGGTCCTGGGACTTTGCAATCTCCACGTATGGTGCGAAGGTTCCAGGTGATGCAGAACTTATCTAGTCCAGTCTCAATGTCTCCTCTGCAGTCTCAACCTCCCCAAACATTTGGAGGGGCATTTGGATCTGCTATTTCAAGCCCCCCAGTCCAAAGCCCACTTACAGCTACCGGACGGACTTTTCAGTACATGGCAAGTGTAGGACCATCTGGGTCTCAGCTTTCCCTTGTCCAGCATCACGCACCCAGCCCCACGCAGACCACACAGCAAAGGCCTGTCTCATACAAGAGTACCCACTCCCTTCATGCAGGTAGTTTGAGTCAGGACACCCGAGCCCTGTCTGCCTCCCAACCTTCACTCCCCCAGGAAGGAACACCACAGGCTTCCTCTGCAGCCCCTAGTCCCCCACCTTCAACCCGCACTTCCAACTCCTCCATTGGCCCCCAACAACCCCCTCACCACAACCTACCGGGACCCTCAGGTGTGGGGAGATCGACTGGAGCCCAGCAGAGGGTGGCCTTTGCCTCCACACCTCCTCCAGGTGGACCTACTGGAGTGGGGGCAGTAGCAGCAGCTGCTGGACCAGGACCTCCAGACTCTGGAGTTCTCAAGAAAGATTCGATTGTCAGCCTTCCGGAGCTAGACTCTGCCAGATCCCGGCTGTCTTCCAACTTGTGACCCTAGTGGAGTTCAGTAGAGAGGCCTTTTTTTTGTAGGAGAATCTGTTTGGTTAAGGTCAGTTCAGCTGATCATTCCGCTTGTGACCAATCAGCTACTACCAGTGCCACCAGTCATTCAACCTGGATGCACTGTGTGCTGGAGTCAGTAGAAAGAAAAGAGCTGCTCAAAGTATTACAATACTTTGGCTATGGGGAGTCACTATGATTATACTAGTATATAAAATTAAGGTTGAACTTGTCTGGTCTGCTGTGCCAGCACCTTTAGTCTTAGTATCACCCCTTTCACTCTGCTTCCAAACACCTACTGCATATCGCTGTCTTTCCTGTAAAGATATGACGAAAAGTGTGATTAATGTACCAATTACATACTGTGTAGAATCCATGCAATGCAATCTAGCAGGAGCTTGACTCAAAAATGAAAATCAGGGACTTGAGGTCAAATGACAATTACATTTTAAGCGTTCAAAGTGTTTTAATTGTCATTTTTTTTTGGTATAAGCTGTCGTAGCAAAGCAACATCTTCATATTGTTTAAACCTGTAGTGGAGTTAGTGTTTTAGACCGCTGGTCGATCTTACATCATTGTGTATATAGTTGACGAAAAAAGTTAGGAACATTATATCCATTGTATCTACCCAAAACCAAAGTTGAGCTTGAACACCAAGTCTGGTCGTGTCTGTATCAACTAAAAAAGAAACATAGAAGAAAACGCCATTTATTTAACTGCCTTGATTCAACGTTAGAAGCCATATATTTCGTTTGTGTGTATGCATATTTGTGTGTGTCCTCCGTGTGCGTGTGCCTGTGTGTGTGCACGTGCAAGAGAGATTTTGTTGATACGTTCTGGTTCAATTTTTCACAGAAGGGACTCATGCACTCTACAACGTCGTCAAGTATGACTGTTTAGACATGCTGACGGTGGCACTGCCCTGTTTTCATTAATCATCTGGAAAGAGGTCAGCTGTTTTTTCAACATACTGATTGTAACCCAAAAGGCAAAGATGGTTTAATAATCTGAGCTTTACTGAAAGGAGGCATTTGGGAACAACCCATACTGTATACTTGCTTGTTTCTGTCTAGGTTAAATGATTAACACATGCAATATAATTCTGCAATACTCTACCCCGCCTATATATATAAATATATATATAAATATGAATATCTATACTTATTCTGTACAGGAAAGTGAACTTGTTTCTGTATGTATTTTTTTTGTTTGATTTTTAATGTGAAATCTTAAAGAATCCAGCAGCTATTGTGGCTAAACTTGAGGTATTGTAATCCAGTGACCATGTTGTTACCTTAACCAAAAATGTGTGAGGGAATGAAAGGGTATGTTGCTGTATTATTTTTGTGTTGAAAAACGAAACACTCTCATCTGAATGCTTACCACTGGTTTAAAGACACGGAATGGAGTCCACCTGAGTCAGCAAATCAGACCATCAAAAGGAAATGTCACCCGAAAAGCATTTTTCAAATGTTGAAAAGTGTAGGGGTGGCCATTATGGGGTACAGAAGCCTTAGTTGTAAAAAAGTCACCTAAAACTTTGGTGAATGTCTCCGCTTGCAGGTCCACAGGTAAATTTTGGTTGAAAGTGTGAGAATATGTCGAGGCTTTGATAATATTTATTCGAAACATCCTGATCCTGTTCATCCTAAAACTCCTTCTACTGCTGAATGTATGCCATACGAGAAGGAAGATAGGTAATCCGTTTTAACTGCCATGTAAATAAAGGGACAGAGGATTTTGTGATGCAAGGGGGGGCTGGGCATTGGTGTATGAGATGCTGAGTGTCTGTGTGATCTTTTTTTTAAAGCCTTTTTTATGTTATTTGGGTTAGGGATTGCTGTATTTACCATTTATACTACCCCCCTCCCCATTAATGAATATTTAAAGGAGAGGTTTTAAAGAATTGCTGAAATGGGCATGAATGAGAGTATGCTGGAATCTCTCTGTGCAAAGTGAGAAATGAGGACAACCACCTAAGCACCTTGTGTTGCACTATGATCTTGTAATCAAAAACAAAATCAATGCTCTGTTCTCTTAAAACTGTTGTCGCACTTCTTCTGGACCCGTTATCTGGTTAAACTGTAAAGACAAAATAAAGGTGAATTCAATTGGGGTAAATAGGCAGCTGGTTCATTGTGTTAAATAAACACAGTGGCCAAGTTTTTCTGCTCTGATATCGATCCAGAGCCAAACTGTAAATCTATCTGATGTACATTTCACTCAGGTTACTACCTTTCCACAGAGATGTATTGATTGCCACAATGTGGCTCTCCATTGATTTATGTAGACATGTCTATTTCCATATTTTGAGCTTGTTGATTTTAACACCCTGGTTGATTCAAATTGGCATAGAAATGGGAATTAATAACCCTAAGATTGTTGTCAGCTTTACTGCCTAAGGTTCTTGATCTCTCACTTTGAGTTGTTAAAAAATATGAGTTGGTGATTGTGTTTATCCAAGGGCTTCATTCTCAGGCTTGTGAACCCTAGGTCATTGTTATACAGCTCCATCTCAATAAAATCAAATGTGATCCAAAAGTAAATTATTTGAGTAATTTAAATAAAAAACTGAAACTTGCAGAATGAAACATTTCCCACAATTATGATGATTATAGCTTCAAGCTAATAAAAACCTGAAATTTTATTTCTTGGAGAATTTGAAAATGATTTAGGGACCAACATAATGGATGTTAATACATAAAAATCAGTCTGCTAAAACAAAGCCTTTCATTGTACTGTGCTCTTTCAGCATGATATATTTGTTTCAGACTAATTTTTTAATGTATATTTGCCTCAGTTCAGCATATGGAAGTGGTCAGCATTTGGATCTGCTGATTTCAAGGAAGCCATGTTTAATAACATGTCTTTTCTTGTGTTGTGTCTTTTGTCCTCCTCTAAAAAATTGATTTTCTGTGGAGTTCAGGTCAGGGCACTGTGCTGGTCTATCAAGACCAGTAAAACCAAGGTCATTGAACGGGTATTGATTTTTATTGTTAATATAGGCAGGTTCCAAGTCACCTGCAGATGAAATGGCTCATCAGATTATGGACACTTCATCTTGAACTGCAAAAAAATTGGATTTCGTGCCTATTCAACTATTCCTCCAGACTTTGTTTTGTCAATTCCATGGTAAATGGTATGTACTTATATAGCGCTTTTTCAAGTCAGGAGACTTGACCAAAGCGCTTTACACTACATTCAGTTATTCACCCATTCATGGACACACTGATGGTGGCAAGCTACATTGTAGCCACAGCTGCCCTGGTGCTCACTGTGACAATGCAAGTGAAGTGTCTTGCCCAAGGACACAACGACAAAAAAAGTCGGAGCCGGGGCTTGAACCGTCAATCCTTCGATTTCAGAGCAAACTCCTACATCCGATGCTACTGTCGCCCCATTCCTTCAAGATAAAAGAACTCAGAACCACATAGCACAGAGCGTCTTTGATATCTCTGGGTCAGGACGTTAAAGAGGAAATAAACATTTTTTAGTTTTTTTTTTTTAGTGGCATTTTTTTATCTCCAGGATATGTCTCTATGTGGTGGCTCTTGAGGCCCTGAAATTAATGCATTTGTGTTTGGTGCCTATGCATATGACAATTCCTCCTGGGGAATAAAGAAAGTTTCTATCATAACTAGTGTCATCTGCATCACAGAGTCTAGACCTGGTCCAAGCCTGTAAAATTCAAATCTTGAATGGGGTTTTCTTTAGAATTGTCTCTGGCACTGGTAGTGGCACCACTCGCTACCTCATTTTTTCCCCCACTCAACTTTCAATTGATAGGCATGGTCATAATTTCCCACACAGTCAACTGTTTTAACAGTGACTTTTGGTGGTTTACAGCTCTTGAAGGGTGTTATTGACACATGCTTTCTAAGTCATCCATCTTATGTGTCATACATTTCTGAGAGACTGAATTATTCGTTTTGATTAGCAACAAGCTATAATCATCAAAACTGAAGCAAAAGCTTGAAATTTTCCTTTGAATGTAATGAATCACCTTTTAAATTAAAGAGGAGTGGAACAGACACCTTCTCTGTTTCACAGAAAAGCCTGCGTTATTTGTGTTTTACCGGAGTCATAAAACAATTTCCCCAACTTATCAGTGAAACATGAACTATGAATAGATTTTTTTTCCTATGGGAAAAGTATACACCAACCCTGTTCTGAATGAAGTCTATCTCAAGCAGTGTTATGTGCGCTTCAGTACTGTTCTGTCTGATTAATTGGTCCTTCCCCTTATTTCTTTTTGCTAATACCAGAGTTTGCCCTGTTAAGCTGCTATCAAGACTGTGCAGATATCTGAATGAGTCCACAGTCGGCGAGAGCAAGATGAATGGAGAATTAAAGAGCTAATGTTTCAGGCAATATCAGGCACCGTCTCTGTTTCATTGCATCTACATGTAGTGTGTAATTCCCTCCCAATCAAAGAATGGCATTTGAGAAACTCTGAACGGCTCCCCTCAGTTTGAACCCTCAGCCGTGGGCCTGATACAGCTCTGGCCAAGCACACACTGCCAGTTTATCTGTTTTTGTGTTTGTCTCACGAGTTGTTCAGTGTGTTGGCATCAAGCTGCCGTAGAGACATGTGTGCTGTGTTAGCCTAATGGCAAGCGGGTTCAAAGCATGATCGTTTAATAATTCTTCTTCTGGACTTTGCTGTGAAGAGGGAATGAATTCCTTCACATCTGTTTGGCACTGACTGACAATTATTGAGAATCTCAAAGCTTCAAGCCTCTCACTCTTGCTGTACCAGATGTTAAGGGTACTGAATGCCTTGGTGTTGATTTGTTAGCAAATCAGGGTCTTAAGTTTGTCTGTTCTCTCTGATTTATCAGTCTGTTTAATTTGGGTGTAGTTCTATCGTTTATATTAACAATGTGCCCTCTGCACATGGACTGTATATACCTTGTGCCTAGTACATCTAGTTTCCACATAGTCTATTTTGTGGTATGTATGTGCCTGTAAAAATGCAAACATGTGTTTTTATTTCCAACTTGCAATATATGTACAAACCATTAGATGACTAGTATTGCTAAATTATAATGACAATGTCAGTATATATAATTTTCCCTGATAAGGGAAACACAAAATTGCACATTTTATGTTGGGTTGAACCTTCCAACACCATGCGCGCTGTACTCTGTACGTTCATGTTCTGTACATATGGTATACACAGAGATGTGGGGCACCCTGTCGGGGTTTCACCACAACCTGCTATATACGCATCATTTCTAAAGTGAGAGGGTTAGCTCCTGGTGGATAGCAACAGTCTAGATGTTAGCATAGGAAATCTGCTTGAGCCAAAAACAGCAGAAGTTAACAAGGAAAACAGTGCTAATATTTGCACAAAATATGAAAACAAAACAAACAGCAACAAAAAAAGACAAAAAAAAATAAACAAAACAATAGGCTGTGCATATGCTGGAAAATCATCAGATTTTGCCGTCGCGCAGCTTTTCACATTGATGCCGGCTGCACACTGATCTGGTGTTGGCTGTTACAGGGAAAAATAATTATCTCCAAGACTAAGTCTAGCTCTTGAGCCACAGCAAGTCTTAAACATGACTCCCAGATGAGTTAGCTGGCAGATAAAGCAGAGTGCATGCCTGTATTTTTCTCATTTTTAGCAGAGTTCTGTGTATGATTGTTGTGGGACCTTCAAATCTAGAAAATTGCTGTGTACCAACTACTGTACAATGATTTTTTTTTTTTGTCTTAAAGTTTAACTTTTGTGTCGTAGCTACTGTAGCCTGCTTAACTTACCTAAGCCTTCTCTCTGCTTCAGGACTCTGTGTGCTTGAGTTTGTATGTGTGCGTGTTCCTGTGCCTTTCCTTCTATAATGTTGGTCCCACTTGAGAATATGATGCCATTTAGGGGGTTGAAGCCCACATGAAGCTGAGAAATGCCAGCACAAATAATAACAAAGAAATCATTGCTAAATGGTCTCAACCGCAATTGTTTTAGAAATAAAAAACTATATTGAAATGCTCTATAGAACTGACTCTAGCACATCCTAGACTTAGTAGCATTCCTCAGCCTGCACGAACGGCTCAGTGTGGGGATCCAGACACACTTTACCAGCACCATGTAGACGACAGCACAGATCTCTAAAACAGCACGTCTCCTCTCTATGAAAGCCAGTCTGCAAACATCTCAGGCTGTGCTCGGCTTCTGCTTATACAAAAAACAAAAAGGTTTAAGTATTAATTGACTAACCCTGTTTTAAGTTAATGTTTATATTTCAGTGACAACTCAGTCCCCAGCCCCAGCCACAGCACTACCAAATTAGTCAAAAAGGATGAGGGGGGTCTTTAGTAAATCTGTGTTGGATTCCAATCTCTCCAGAATGGACTGCTAGCTAGTGGCTGGGGTGATGGACTGATTTGGTCCTGTGTTCAAAAGGCTGTCTTGTCCACCACCTCTGTTGACCAACAGCACAGAGCCACACCCTGGTTTATCTCAATAGCTGGTCTGTCAGTCAGTGGCAATGTTGTTTCAGCATCAATAAACAGACATAAAATACCTTGTTGTGCAATAAAAAGATGAGCGCATTGGCATACTTATCCTCGAGTGTGGAAGTTTTTTTTTGTCTGTGTTTTTGTTGGTATTCTGAATTACATGTTTTTTCAGCATGTGAGACAATTTACATACAGTGCTGAGTAAATATTAAAAAAAAATTAAGCTACAACTATTAGCATTTTATTTACATGTTATATGATTCTTAAAAACACTCTGGAAATATTCTTATCCTTCAGGGTGACAGGGGGGCTGATGCCTATCTCCTTTAGTCCATCGCCACAGGCATGGTACACACTGGACAGTTCCCGATTGCATTGCAGGGCAACACATAGACATACAACCATGCACACACACACACATGCAATTTAGAGATGCCGACTTTTTCCTTTCCTGTTCTACTTTCCCATTGCAGTGTCCATATAATATGTAATATTCCCTGCATGAAATATAATAAAGCTATTTACATGCATAAATCAAGCAGAACACTATGGCGATAGCTGTACTGCTCCACTTGTCAAAGTAAAATATTTTGTGCTCTTTTTGGCATCACAACAATTATTCTTATTGCCACATAGCCAGACAGGACGCAAAGATACCGATTAACCAAACAGTCATGTTTTTGGTGTCAGGGCTCAAAACAGGGGATCCAGTACTCAAGGCAGAGAGACAGTCGGATAATCCAAACAGCGTTTATTAAAAAACATGCATCTGCAGTTACAGCAAGGATGTCTAAGGCAGGAACCTCTGCAGGAGGAAAGCACTGGTTAGTGACCACGTTAATCTGATGGCGAATGATTATGAACGGGTGAGTCACTCACCTATTCTTATAGTTCAGTCCGTGCCCAGAGAAGAAGGTTGATTCCAGCCGGCTGGCTGACAACAAGATGTGGTGGACACCACCCATAGTGTCTCAGACACTGTAGTCCCAGTGGGCAAACAAGCAGGTAATCCAGAGGGCGAAGCAAAAGCTGGTGTCAAGATATACTCAGGATTCAGAACCAGGAGATCAGAAGTCCAAAGATGTTCTAAAGGGAAATCCAGGCTGGTGACAGGAAGCAGCTCCAAGTTCAGCAAACAGGCAGAATCCTGCAGGAGTACATAAATAGGTCAGGCAAACAAATCAGATGGGAACAGACAGGCTCAGTGGTTGAGAGGCATAACAGGTCAGGTTCAGGTAATCAGAAACACTAAGGTAACACTCTACCACTGGCTTGAGAAAAATCTTGCACTGATGACTAGTGGGTTGGTTAAATAGAAGCTGGAGCAGATGGATAAGATGAATAGTAGTGAGAAAACAGGCGGAGCTAAGCAGGTGAAGCGAATGAACAATCAGGCCAGTCATCAGCGCCAAGATCATGACATTTGGACCGTGGGAGAAAACAAGAGTACCTGGTAAGAGTCGTGGAATTTCTAAGCAGAACGACCCAAGGCCAGGAGCTGAACCTACTTGCTGCGAGGCAACAGTGTAAAAAAACTGTGCCACTGTGCAGCCCTTTTGAACAGTTGTTCAAAAATTTTAATTGGGAAGGAAAAATGGAATCTGGAAGCAGTTACACATTTACAGAGAATCCATTGGAGAATACAGGTTAGAAAATAAAAATATACACCAAGCTTTGAACATGTCATAGAGCACTCTTAAATTAATCAGTATAGCATAATTGTAAGCCGGCCCATTAAAGGAAACTCTTTATTAGAGTAGCCGTTCCTGAGCTGGAGTTAAGGGAGGACAACGAACAGTCCTTCTAGGCCTAAATTAACACTGCCTTTTTAAAAAGGCCTCCACAAACATCTTCAGTGGTTTCCCTACTACATCTATTGCCAACATAATTTTCTCTATCTTCCATTTTGATTCAAAAAGATTTTGTATCCGCTGCCTACTTCCCCCTAGGTCACAGCAACATCTAGCACCTGATTTGTTTTTGCGTTGCAAATTTAAACAAAAGTTCAGGGTGGTGGCCAAAACCCAATTCATGACCTTCACTTCGCTCTGCCATGCTGCGCTCCAGAGCCCTCATCTACATTGGGATAACATGTTAAACATTTATTACAGCCTCATAATTTGCATCCATTGTAAATGCACCTTAAGACTGGAGAACTGCAGCAGAACGATGGCCCTCAACATAAAGCCAGATACAATGGAATAGTGACATATTCATGTGTTGGACTGGGCCCAACTAAAGTCCAAACCTAGATTTAAAAGACAATTTACGGTGAATACATTTGGGTCTTTAGATGTGCAAAGCTGGTAGAGGTATAGCCCTTAAGACTTGCAGGAGTTATTGCACTGATAACTGATTGTGCAAAGTGATGACTCGGGGGGACTAGATTCAAGCACATGCCACACATTTCACAATTTCATCTAGAAAAAATATGAATCATCTCCCTATGACTTCACAATATGCACTGTTGCACTTTAGACATATAACTCTGGTTAATATAAATTTTGTAAATTTAACTTTACACCTTCCATTTGAAAACTTTAGCAAGGCGGTATACTTTATGGAATTAATAACAATAAACAAGTGAACAGACACACTTCGTTGCTGCTCACCCCTTACACCCTCTTTGCCCCCCTCATCAGATGAGATCTTCTTCTCTTTCGCTCTGCAGACAGGGGCTCCGCTGCATCCCTGATGAGATGTCTGAGAACAGACTAACAGCTTTCTCTTTTGTGCTCATGAGCACGTCAACTTACAGCACTGCGCAGGAATATGAGAGGAAATTTTTTTGTCCCCAAGTGGGTTCACAGACACAAGAAAGTCCCAATTTTTATATTTCTCTGAAACAGAGAGGACGCATGGACTGGTGATTTTGTGCATGCACCAGAGTTAAGGGCAGTCCAAGGACAAAGTAGCAGCCTGGGAGCAGCACCCACCCACTTGCTCTGTGTCTGCATCGGTTCCTTCACAAGTGCACATGCACGCACACACAGCTGTCTAGATCCTCTCTGATTATGCATTGCAGACTCAGATAGAGAGATTAAAATTACATGCAAGGTAAGATTTTGACACAGAGCTTTACACCATTTGGGTTACCTCCTCAGGTCTTCATACAGCTTGTACTAATGTGGGTGAGGCCATCCGCAGTGCGTGTCCGTAATTTTACCTTGACGTGACATGATGTCCTCTCTCCACCCCCCCATTCCCCCGCCCCACGCACACACTCTCTCTTTCTGTTTCATTGTAATTCAAAGAGGAAGCAAGCAATGTACTGATAGTGGCTGCAGGCGGATACTACACCAAGCTATGATGTGAAACTATATGAGTTTGTGCAAATAGTTTCATCCTTATTAATATAGGGCCGAGGATTGTCCTCTACCTCAATTCCTCTGCATTGCTGGCGCTCTGTTTTGTCCCTGGCTGTCCTACTTCAATTAATCATATCAGCATCAAGTGTAGTACCCCCTTAGCTGTGTACCTCTAGAGGGCAATTTGCTTATTTAGCTCCTTACTGGTATCATTGTCCCTTTGCATCCATCTTCTTACACTTTGCCCATGCAGTCTGACACACTTACTCTTCATCAACCTTTCACCTTTCTATTCTGGTCTCACGGTGCAAAATCTGCAGCTTCAGCTTTTATGACTACCAGGTGCAGATTATAATCCCTTGCCAAGGTAAAATGATTGGGTTTTTCATTTCAGGCTGAATTATAAGGTGGCTCGCAAGGTGGAGGGGTCAACATGCTTTAGTTAGCACAGGAAAGAACTTTCCTGTCCGAATCTAGGCTTTGTAGGCTCATTCTGTGTTAAATAAACATACAGTATACCTGTATAAAATACAAAGGCTATGATACACTTAAAAAATATATATTGGTTTCATGATACTGCAGTGTTTAATTGAATTTAAAACACAAATGTTCACCATTACTTCTACTAGTGATAGTCTAGTATTGATATTAAAATAGCCTACTGTAGCGACCCAATTGCAAGCATGCATCAACTATCCCTATCAAGGAATTTTAGTAAAATTAAAGCTAAATTTTATCTGCTAGTGGTCTCTGAGTCTATGTCAGCTGCACTAATAACTACATTATTAAGATAGTAACTAAAAGATAAGGTGATTCATGTTCATTTTTTGGTATTTTAACAATGCTTCTTATAATTTTGGAAAGCTTTTTTTCCTCTCCTTGCCACAGTTGTAGGGAAAACATAAAGATGGAGCAACACTGTAGAGTGTGGATGAGACTGATTAAAACTCCCTCAGCTCTACCAAACAGCTCATTCTTAATCTCACTCCAGTTAAATTTTTAATTTATTGATTGATTATTTAACTTTAGAGAACTTAGATAGAAATGTTGGATGCACAAACGTTTATTTATTTAATAACCCAGAATCCTCAGTAATCATTGAGACCATAAATTACCTTAAATGCCTTTGTGCAGGCTGACTGATTTGTATTAAGATGGGAATCACAATCCTTAAACAACATGAATCAGTGGTGAAATTACTTTGATTGAGAGTTAGACTATTTTTAGACTTAGGCAAACTTGTTATTTGTTCAGTACAGCCCTCAAGACATTTACATTTCTTAAAGTGCAGCAGTGATAAAATGTAAATATGGTGATCAAATGTAAACATAAGACTGAGATATGATTTACAGTTTTTCCAATATTCAGCTTTTTTTTTCTTCGTTTTATTCAACATTCAGCAGTCTAATGGCAGTGGGGAAGAAGCTTTGGAAGTTTTGGAATCTGCTGGACCTGCATCAGATGCATCAAAGCCTATTCCAAGAGGGCAGCAGGGAGAACAGTCGATGTGGGGGTGTGAGGGGTCATTTATATTTATTTTTTTATTTTTTTTAGGGGTCTTTTATAATGTTACGGGCTCTGGACATGCAGTGCTGGGATGAAATGGAGCCTATAGGTGGAAGTTCAACTGAAGAAATTGCTCTCCTACATCCACCAACGACACAGCCAATCAGCTTTGAACTACACCCCTATGAAAGCCAATCGGCATCCAAAGCTCATCTTAAAAGGCCTCCGATCATCAACTTGTCTGCTGCCTGGTTGTGCTATGTGACTTCATTCTGATGACCC